CGCCATAGAATTCGAGCCCGGGGTGAAATTACCAAAACCAAAGATGTATTCCATGACGCCTGCTGAAATGACTGAATTAAGGAAATACATCGACAGCAATTTGGAACAAGGTTTTATTGACCCTGCCAAATCAAGATTAGCTGCCCCCGTGTTGTTCAGGAGAAGAAAGATGGCAGATTGATATTGTGTGTTGACTTTAGAGGCGTGAATGCAGTATGCATCAAAAACATGTATCCTCTCCCTCTTATGAAGGACTTATTGAACCACCTGTCGAAGGGCAAAGTATTCACCAAGCTAGATCTCAGGGAAACTTACTATCGGGTCTGCATCAAACAGGGAGATGAGTGGAAAACTGTGTTTAACTGCCCTCTGGGTAGCTTCCAATTCAAAGTCATGCCTTTCGGACTCCAGGGGGCTCCTGCAGTGTTTATGCAGCTCATGAATGAGGTGCTACACCCTCATCTTTACCAGGGGGTCCTCGTGTACCTGGATGACATCCTTATCTTCAGCAAAACCATGGAAGAGCATGTTCAATTGGTTCGACAGGTTCTAGAAAAACTTCTAGCCGCCAAATTACATGTGAAACTCTCAAAATGTGAATTCCACAAAGAGTCGCTAGTTAGACTACCGAATATCCAACCTGGGGATTGCGATGGACCCTGGAAAGGTGAAAGCAGTGCTGCACTGCCAACTCCCCAGAACCTGAAAACAACCTCAAAGTTACTTGGGGTTTGCCAACTTCTATAGACAATTCATTCTGTCCTTTGCTGAAGTTGCCCTCCTGTTGACAGAGCTATTAAAAACGGGCCCGTCACCCATCATACCAAAGCCGAGTCAACCCCTGGCTTTGACTATGGACTGTCAGAAAGCTTTCGAGACATTAAAACACCTCTTCACATGGAGCCCATCCTCAAGCACTCAGACATGACCAAGCCTTTTATTGTCCAAACAGATGCAAGTGATGTAGCAGTGGCAGCCATTTTGCTGAAAAAAGACTCTCAAGGCCAGCTAATGCCTTGCGCAATATATTACAATACATTAGATGCTATGTAAATTATCAACAAGAAAATTGGGCTGAGTTATTACCTTTTGCAGAGGTTGCTTACAATAATGCAGTACATAGTAGCATGGGATTGACTCCATTCCAAATCAACACTGGAATGGATTTTGTCCTGATGCCAGAGTTACCTAGACAGCCTCCCCTCATCCATGTCCCTAACAGAATGGATGAACTCATTAAGGAAAGGATGGAAAGATACAAAAAAAGCTTTGACCGAAGCTGCAAAAAATTATAAAAAACAGGCGGATAAACATAGATCCCTTCAACCACCTTTTAAAGTAGGGGACAAAGTATATTTGTCAACCAAGTATCTTAGGTTGAAACTGCCCAATAAGAAGCTGGGTCCAAAATTCTTGGGTCCATTCCCAATTTCAAAAATAATCAATCCGGTCACTGTCCAATTACATCTTCCTCGACTATTGGGGAAAATTCATCTGGAGTTCCATTGTAGTTTACTAAAACCATCTACTACATCGATGATAAGATCACTGCTAATTGCTCCCCCTAAACTGTTAACAATACATGCGGAAACACATTATGAGATTAAAAAAA